TGAAATGATAAAAATGGGAAAATGCTTATTCAATGACTTTAAAATGAGGCAATTAAAAGAAATTAAATGTAAATTCTTAAGTCATACAAGATTACTTCCAAATGATACTAGTAGGGGATGCGATGTACTCGTACACGAAAAAAAAATTGAAAATGGTAATTGTTTACATTTGCATGCTAAATTTTGATGGTACCTATGGGTACAAACTTTTGAGGATACCTACGGATACAATTTTGAGGATAGTTTTGGGTATGAAGATAACTCTAATATGATTTCTTAAAGAGATTAAAAAGTATAACTACTTAAATTGAACGGGAAGAGTTAATTAAAAAAATGAAACATTTTGATTTATCAATGAATTGTATTTTCTTGGGGCATTTATGCATAACATTTGGATATTAATTTAATACATAAAATGATTGTAATTGCTCACTAAATGGCGTAATTTATTCTTGAAAATTCATGGTTGGTTTCAAGAAAACATTAGATTGCTATGACTGAAATGCGAGATATGATTTACAAGACTTGTGATGATAAGTAGTATATTGTGTATTATGATTATAATAATTGCATTTTTTATGAGTAGTAATATATTGTTTTGCATTTGTTTGAGATATTGCTTACTTGTAGATTATATTAATGTTTCTGGATGATTTGATTTTCTATGTAGTGTAATTTATGATTTTTAGTGGCTCTTTTACATTGAAAGTTATGATAATCTGTTGAAATTAAATGAAATTTTAATTATAGCGCTTGATTTAATTTTAATTATAGCGCTCAGACGTCTTGTACCCGTCTTGGTTAATTTCAAGCTCCAGATCAGGTCATGACATTCCATGCACTCTTGAACAAGTGTATTCTTTGGTCTCAGAGGGGGTGAATGCAAATTAATTAAAGTGCCAAAATAGTCTCTTGACTATTTACATTAAGTCATTTTAGTATCAGAATTTATAAATGTCTTAATAAGCCCCTGAATTGTTTTAATAGCGGCTAAAATAGTACTCATTGAGGACTATTTTAATCCATATTAAAAGTATTTAGGGATTAAATTGACACTTAATTTACACTGGGACTCTTTTGACAATTTTCTTATACAAAAAAATTAGATTTATTGAAATTTTTTAGAAACTCTTTACAGTATTTTCTCTCCCATTAGGTGAGAACCGTAAAACCATTGAACACGAAAGTAGATATTATCATCATGCCCACCATCATCTATTGTTAACACCATAGTTGATCACAATTAAGTTTATTCTTCATTAGAATTAGTGACATTGAGATCATTACTATTATCCATTGTATTCATATTATCAGAATTTCTAAGTTCAGGTTTCAGGTGAGTATGGGAGATATCTGGAAACCCACAGCGATCGGTTTACCTAGATTGAGAAATGATGGTATAATTATTTCCAAATTTGTTAATATAATTTTATCTGTAATTGGGACGTGCAAGGAGAAAAGATTTCCCTTTTGCTATTTTATTCAATGAAGCGTTCAGTCTGATATTTATATTTTTTATACATGTTCGGATCATTCTTTCAATATTTAAAAAATGTTCTCATAGATATTATGTATGTTATATCATGGAAAATTTTGTTTTGTCAAAGCTAATGACCATCATGGAGAACCAAAAAATCTTTCTGGAAGATGGATGAACATTGTGAAAGGAATTGGAAGCGTTATTTGATAGCTGATACACATTGGTATCTCAAATAATTACAGATTTTTAGTTAAGAATTTTATGTTCATGTGATGGAGTTGCCACAGAATCAAGAAACATTTAATATCAAAATTTGATTCCTCCCTGCATTCCCATACCGGTTATCAATCTTCTACTAGATGAAAAGCAAAAGCATGCACGCCATGAACTTCTTGCAATCTTCTGTTGTATTTTGTTTGCTCTCCCACCATTGAACTATTTTGGCCACAAATTATTAACTCAAGTTAATAAGCAAGCCAATGATGAAAATCACTGTTTTTGCTTTTATTCCAGTCTTTTTGTTCAAGTAACGGCTATGTTTGGAAAAAGTTTTATCAAATTATTTTGATCTGCTCTCACTCTTTGGCACCAGTATAATCTACCTGTCTAATGGACGAAAAATTATTGCATACGTTCACCGCACGCATTAAAATCCTCTTTACCGAAACCACTGAAACTTGTATCTCAGTGGGCCCCTTTTTATTTTTATTTTTTTAAAAAAATTAAAAAGGTGATTGGTTCACCGTATGCAGCTGCGCACGGTGAACGTATGGAATAATCCCTCCTAATGGACGCAGTTTTATGCTTTTATTTTCCATAACGAAGTCCACAAGCTGAGATCTCTTATTGCATAGGAGAGTTTCAATTCCAAGACTTTAGCAATAGCTTTCAAAGCCCTTGATAAATTTACAATGACAACTAAGCTAAAAGCTGAAACAGAGAAGTTAGTGAAGCCTTTAACTGATAAATAGGAAGAAGGTTCCAGTTTTATTGTTCCAATGATACAGTGTCGTCATTATACAAAAAGGATTTGTGACAACTATCATTACATCTGTTTGATTCGGTTGTAGATGAAGAGCTGAGATTGATTGAGTCATTCTTGTGGGTAGCTGCTAGTTTTGCAGGACAGCTGGTGCTTGTACTATAATAAATGTAATTGTGTGTTTTAATATGGTTATTACCTTAAAGTTGATTTGGTGGGGATCGGATGCTGTGAGTTAATGGGTGGATGTATTTGCTGCTTGAGAAGCAAGGGAATGCTGTGGGTGGATAAGAGAGTCAGGATTAGAGGTTTCTGTCGGTTGTGTTGCTTATTTGTGATAGTGGAAGTAAGGGAGGGACTGACATGTTGTTAAATATGAGATGGAGAGATGTAGAATTTCTTTGTATCAAAGCATTTATAGCCCTTTTGTGAGGTGGCATGGCCTTGGAAGATGCAATTTATTGATCTGGGATCGAATAGGGACAGAGACATGGGATGCATTCATAGCCAAATATTTTGAGACGAAAGTATTGGGTTTTTTCTTTTTTTTTTGTGTAATGTAATATTTCATATTAGAATTTATATTTGCTTGTTTTAGAGGGTAAGCCATTGATGAGGTACACAGTTGTGAGGATTGCATCAACCTAGGAGCGAAGAAAACTTGCATTGAGAGGGTGTATGGGCGTCGCATTCAACAACTTCATTTTATTTAGGAGTGTAAGGACACTATGTTAGTGTGTAATGCCAAGTTTGAGAGGAGAGTTTGGAGCCTTGTTGATATTATTCACCTCCATGAATGCAAAGAATTTTAATAGTTCTTTGAAATTATTTCTTTTCCACTATTTTATAATAGAATGGCTCATTTTGCGACAATTGATGTATTATCAGTGATGATGATGGTTTTTCGCCATTCTGATTTGAGACAGGAGGTTGTCTAGATCTGTTAGGATGTAAGGTTTGTATTAATTAAAGTTCTTCGGATGCCATTGTGTCTAAATTGATTTTTTATGCATAGAAAAGAATAGAGATCGTTGTGGCCGAGGGGTTGTAGGTTGGCTTGAATGGCCATTTTAAATGCTTTATGTGGTGGTTATCGATTTATAGTCCATTCAAGGTGTAGGCGCCTTTGGCTTTGATGGATGAGAGTGTAGAATTCTAATTTGTTTATTTATGGATTATGCCAGCACCTTAGCTTTGAGAAAAAGAGAAGAAAATGTATAGAAGTATAAGTAGGACAGTTGGGAGAAACCTACAATAAACCAGGGCTAGAGTTCACAAGATTGCATAATTATGGCTCTTTTTGTGTGAACACCTATTTTTAGGCGAGGATTGGAGTTTAAAGCTGTAGAATAGGCTGTATATATGAAAAAAATATAAAACGAGGTTCATCGGTTAATCTCTGAAGATACAAAAGGCGTATAGCGTGGGAACTTGTACTGCGATTCGGTTAGCAAGTTGGGAGAAATTCATTGGTTTCTTTAATGGAAGTTGTTGAGTAGCTCTAGTTTTCGGCAACTGTTACCGAATTCAGTTGTTTCAATGAATCCGCTTGGCGTATGACGAGTTCTTTATGCTCTTGGCAGTCTTCCTTCAATTCATGTTGATGGGTTTACCTTGATTCCGAAGAGTAGTTTTCTTTGAATTCAGCTGCCGAGTTTTCATTGAACATGGTGGGAGAGTCGAGTCCACCATGAACATAGCTAGGTGAGCAATCCGGTTCTATTAAGGATGCATTTGATACCATGTTATCATTTGATCATTCGCAGAAATGCGACGGAGTTCATTCTTTAATTGGATGATATAGGAGTGATTGGTTTATTGTATCTAGCTCTTCATCGTTGTTCCCATTTTGGTATAGTTATTATGTTTGAGGACATATGAAATGAGTTGTGGTGAAATCATCAAATAGAGGTTTGCAATCGTATTTCAAGCCAAAGCCTCTGCGTATCGTATTGATTGTAAGAGCTAATGGATCCATCAATTTTTAAGTTGCTTTTGGCGAACATGGATCGTTTCGTCAAGATAACCTTTAAACCCATTAGATCGAAAGATCTCAAAGAGTTTAAACCCGCATTTTGGGTGGTTCTGGAGGGTAAAGTTGGACTTGCTAGCACCCAGTACTTCATAAGGATTCCTTTCATTCACCTGGGGTTTGTTTGAGATCAATTTTGTTTTTCGTTTTTGTCTTTTAAAAACATGTTTGTTTAATGCATTTTTAATATGTTTTTATTTTTTTATTTCTCTGAATAAATAAATATGTTTTTGAAAACACTACAAACAACTTTTGGGTGTTTCGAATGTTTTGAAAAAACAATCATATTTTAATTAAACATACCAAACATAACAATTGGTTGGTATGTATGTAAATGTCACTTATTTTTTTATCTAACCTTGTATGTATGTACTTTAGAAGCTTTCTTAGGATTATATAAATACAACAAAATGTTAGAATGGAAACATCTAGCCAATTCTTTTATATTAATTTCACTTAATTCTCTCAATTGGCTGAAATTGTTCTCATTTCTTCCCTTTCTGCAGAAGATAGGAGTATTACTGCACCAAATTGCAGAATTAAATGCAGTTCTTGCAGCTCATCGCAAGGTTCCAGTTTTGAAGAGGACCTGAAAGGTCTCATTTTGGTGCAAATATTACGTGTTGCGACTGCACGTCGTCCGGATGTACATCGCACGGCGGCAGGACCGCATTCGGACCGATGTTTGGACGTGACCTGCATGATGGTTTAATACAAGGTAAAGGTACTGCTAAATATCATTATTCATATTTGTTTGTACATATTTACGCTTTGTGCCACTGGACTTAGGAATATGATTTGTATAATTGTGCATCTTATACTCATTGAGGCTACAGCAATATTTTGAATTTGGAAAGGGTATAATAGGATAAATAGAATTGAATATTATTCTGGGGGCGTTCCACCAGAAAGAAATAAAGGATACATACCACTCAATTTTTAATTTTTATGTATTTACATATCTGACCCCTAAACTTCAATTTTTACACTGACATCAGCCTTCCCAAACACGTTCACAATAATGAGCAGAAAATTGCAATCAATGACCACTAATAGAATTTTTTTATAAATGAATAAAAAATTAATTAAAATATTAAATTTGTTTTTGTAAATATCATATTTAAATAAATAAATGTCATTTTTATTTTCGAATAAACGTAATATACTAATTTGAACTATTATATTGCACATAATATCTTTTTATGCCAATTTTCAAATAATTAGATTACTATTATATTATTATTCTTCGAGAGATTTTAATATATATATATAACAAATATTTAAAATTCACATTATAATATGCACGATAAATTTAATACATTTAATATACTTGAATAATTTATGATATTTGCTTCGCAGCGAGTGGTGATAGCAGTGGGTTGTCCAAAGGAGTTTATAAATTAACAAATTTAAAATAATTTAAAATTGATTAAAAAAACATTAAAATTTATACAAATTGTAATGATCTCATCAACACCTTATTTCAAATATATTAAATATAGATTTTGGATTAATCATAAGGGCTGTGAAAACGGTTCGTTGTTCGAACAACTCATGTTCGGCTCGTTCGCTAAATTAACGAGCCGAACACGAACAACGTCGTTTTGGCTCGAAATACTACTAATCAATTATAAATATACCTTTGATGAGTAGTTTTTGAAAATTTAATTGACTGCAAGACTACAAAGATCAGTTATCAATTAAAAGTATTAATAAAGAAAATAGAATAAAAATTATTAATTTAGATTCAAATGATATTTTAAATTTTTTCTCAATCCTTAATATCTTATGACTGCGTGATTAGGGTTGTCAAAACGACTCTTTGTTCGGCTCGTGTTCGACTCGCTAAATAAACAAGCAGAACACGAATACACTTTTTGAGCTCGAAATATAAAACAGCTGAACACGAGCGAGTCTAGGCTCGCTCGTACAGGCTCGCTCGTGTTCGGCTCGTTTACACCCCTACATACGAGAGTGTTGCATGCGGCAGACGTAATAATTTTTTTTTCTAATAATACAACCAACATGGGTGATAATGCTTATGTTACTATAATAATTGGAGAGATTTATCGAGGCTAAATATGGCTGATTTTTTTAACATAAGACCTAAGAATGATGATGGCAACAAACGACACAAACCTATACATGAAAATGTGTATTTTAGTTTAAAAAGTTAATAATAATTATGTTTTTTTTTATGTAATATTAAAGATTTAAGTGCTATGTGATGTAAATATGAAATTTTGGATGTCAAATATATAAATAAATAAGAATTATGTGGGTATGTATGAAAAATCTTCACTTCTTTTTCTCGTCAGTTTTTACTCACTCATATTCCTAAGATGCATGCTTCTTCTGGAATGGAAATGGACATGGAAAGTAGGTGATTGAGTGGCTGTTGTTACTTGTTTCCAAAAACTGAAGGGGAACTTGCATACCCATTTCACATCTAAACTTAACATATTTGCAGACATAACATTTTGGTGTTCCAAACTTGGCTTGAGAAGGTGTATTTCACAATTAAAAAGTGAATGCATAAATGGCTTGTTGGAACATATGGGAAGGGATGATGTTTATTACAACTTCCATATGGTCAATTCTTTATCTTCATATAAAGTCTATTGATCTGAGAAGGCATATGATCGAGCATCACATGAATTAATTTAGCCCTCTTAAAAGTAGAAATGTGTTTAAGGGTCTGTTTGGGGCAGGTGTAGTTTATTGAATAATAGATTAAAAAAAATCGCCTGATAATCTAGGTGCGGTGGCTATTACAAATTTTCATTTTTTTGGAAAAGCCAGACCGTGCCAATAAACTCCCACCGCACCTAGATGAAAACGTTGTTTTCTGCGTTTTGAAAACGCATAAGCTGCCAAAACGCAATTTACCCAAACAGGTCAGGTGCGTTTTCAAAACGCCACCGCACCAAATAAGCTGCCCCAAACGGGCCCTAAATTATCCCATTTCTAGCTTTTATATACACCACTCGACAAAAGAAGGTAAGAGGAAGCCCCAATGCAATCTTGTTGAGAAACAGAGGTCAAAGGGACCGACTGCGCATACAAACATTGAAGATCGACTAGATGACGAAGAAAAAGTAAAGAATCATGGCAGTTTCTTGTCGTGAAAGGGCATCGACGGGATCAACGATGCTGTGATTTTGAGTATGAAGAAGAGAATCAAGTCATGATAAGATCCCGCTGAGAAAGTGCATCAACAGCAGTATGAGACCTACAACACATGCTCGTGTATCGATGAATAGGTAAAAATAAGGTTAACAAAAGTGGTATTTTTATGTTGTTTATAAAATTGAGTGTTATGTTATTAGATCTAAAGTTTTAGGTATTAAATATAAAAAATAATATTTAGTTTAGAGTATAATGTATGTAAATTCCCCTTAACAAAACAATATGATTGAAATGTGATTAGTATTTGATGTTGTGGAGTAACAAAAAAGTTCTCAATTATCATAAATTTCCATCAAATTTTTGCATTGAATTAATATATTTTTATATTGGCTATTTAGATGCTTACAAAAACATTCAAAATTATATATATATAGATATATATATATATATACATTATATAATGTTAGTGATGGTAACAATTATCATTTATAAACTAATATTATTACAATTAACATAAATGGCAAGTGAATTGAAATAGCAATCCAAAAGAATAAGCATTTGAGTACTAAAAAACATAAACATAACAACAATGCACAAAAATGGCCAAAAAATTAAGCAACGAATATCACATATGAAGCCCTAAACACAACTCAGAACGCAAATAGAGCATTTCTGACTGACTTTGTAGAAAACACAATCTTTGCAATCTTAATAAAGAAGTTCGAGAGGGAGTGCGAACATAACCTGATTTACTATCTAGAATATAATTTCTAAAGTTAAGTTTGAATGTTTAAATTATGAATTATCTAAATAGTTTTGTATGATAAACCACAATCATGAAGGCTTCATGGTAAAGTTTGTAATTTTGAATTCTGGTATGCAATGTTATATGAATTTGAATGTTAAAATCAATGTCTGATAATAAAAAAAAATGATAAATTTAAAAATAATTATATTTAAACAAATGTATAAGCATCTATCAAATATAATAAAGTAGAGGCAATTGCACACAGAGCACTCGAAACGTTGCTATTTACAAATCAAGGCACCCTCTTTCATCCAATTTTCAAATTCTCACTAAGATATCCAAATTTATGATAACATCACAACCCATATTTTTCATTTTTATCAAATTCTCAATGGTTTGATCATGACACTCCAAAGAGCATCTGCTCGGTAACTCAAAAAATCACCTTGAGTGCTTGATTTGTAAATATCAATGTTTCGGGTGGTCTGTATGTAACTATTTCTTAAAGGTAAAGTAGATTTAGGTGGTCGGACATATGCAATGAAGTATAGAGAATATTCAAAGAATAGTTCAACAAATTTAACAATTACATGGATAGAAGTGGTTAAAAATGATTTGAGAATAACAAGTTTAACAGCCACAACACTCACCATGAACATAGACCTAAGATTATATAAATAGAATTTGTTTCAAATTGTTTATGAAAAATAAGCTCAGCACCTAAGACAACACAAAAAGAATGAATTTACAATAAAAAAATCATAAATTTGACCCAAAATACTCAAGATTAGGCTACTGAAAGTGATGATTCAAGGATAAATTAATGATCATTGGCAGAATCAGAGATTTATTCCTTGAAAATTCAGGAACTAAAAGGAATATTTAATATAAAAAAACACTTAATTAATGCAGATGTCTTACAATGACAGTCCAAAAGAACAAGCATTTGAGCTCTGAAAGCATGAAGATGACAGCAATGCACATAAATGGTAAAACCATCAAGCAATCAATATCACAAATGAAGCCCAAAAACACAACGCAAACACACAGATAAAGCGTTTCTGATTGGCTTCTAAGGAAAGCACCATCTTCGCCATTTTAATAATAAGGTTCGAAAGGGAGGTGCAAACATAGCATAATTTAAAATCTACGATACTGCAATCAAACATGACGCCACAAAGATACCTATCAAACTATAAAATCCATCAAATCCAAGAAATAATAAAAACGATACCAGGAAAAGCCGATTCAACTCCAGCTCAACCAACCGACGGCTCAGGCACGCCGGATGCGATCTCCTCGCCGATCGGCTCGGCGGGCGTCGGAACAGAATCAGCAACATCTCCACTATCTTCTTCTGCGGAAGCAGCATTTTCCTCAGCGGGAATCGGAGAAACATTGGAACCCTTAGCTTTAACGGACTCGATCATCCGTCGGCTGATTTCCTTTGAATAGATCTGAAGGATCTCAATCCCTTCGTCCACGGACGCCTCAGCGGAAGCGACCTCGTCCGCCTTGGCAGCAGAAGGGGGCGATACGTAGGTTGAGGCGAGATCGAAAGCCTCCTGCTCGATGCGACGAGCGATAGCCGAGGCCTCGTCGGGCGGTAGGGTTCCGTATCGTTTGGAGAGGGTGGAGGTGTGGGAAAGATTCTCGATGAGGCGGTTGATGACGGCCTCGCGGGTGCGCTGAGATGGTGGCCAGATGTTGACGGAGAAGGTCGGAATGGACGCCGCCGTCGAGGTAGCCGTTGCGGGTAAGGGTTTATCATCCGATTTGGTGGTGTTCTCGACCTCACCCTCCTGCTTGAAATCTTCGCTATCCTCTGCCATGAGGGGAGTTAGGGAGGAGATGAACAGATTCGTACGATCGCCGCTGATCCAGATGAGTGAGGAGAGAGTCATGGGGGGCTTTAAAGGCGTGCGGGATGCTTGTTGATGATCACGTGACTGCACGTGGCACGTACACGGGGGTATGTTCAACCGGCAGATGGCGGTCACATAGGCGAGGAGAGAAAAGGTCCGATAGAAATTTCAAATATTAGCCGTGGCTGCCGGTGGGGCTGTGAATCAAACTAGAAATCGCTCAACGACCTTAATCCGATCCTTAACAGCACCAGTATTGTCAGGATCATGGATTTGATCAATTCAACTTGAAGATTTCTAATGGCTCGAAAATTGATCCAAATTTTAACTCAAATCGAGTTAAATGAGTTAGGTACGAGTCAAAATTTTGGGTCAAATTTTTTCGAGCAGATTTTAAGCTGAGCCCAACTGCTTGGAAATTGATACAAATTTTTGTTGAATCGAGAATAAATTGAAATAAATTAGCCGAGCTATAAGCTAAAATTATGAAACAATTTATTTTCAAGTCGATTTTGAGCCGACCCCAACTTGACTCGAAATTGGATCATGAATAGCACTGCCAGACACTTAATATTTACAAATAAATTTTATCCAATTTTAAAATTCTCACTCAAATATCAAGATTCATGGCGAAATAAGGTCCCATAATTTTCATTTTTTTATCAAATTCGCAATAATTTGAGCTTGACACGTGTAAATACATCAATTTGGTAGATTAAACAAAGCATGTGTCTTAATTTGTAAATATCAAGTTTGACGTGATATTTATGCTATTATCCCATAATTTTATGGGGCTTTACATACATAACACTCAATTACTATATATTTATATATCTAACATTTAACTTTTACATATATGCCACCTTATCTACCCGTGGAGAAGTGTATTCCACTTCTACATATCACACTATTTCTTTTTATTTACATATTGCACACTTAAAATTTGATATGTATATGATAATACATTAAAGTCATAAATCAATATATATAATTTAATAATAGTGATATTTCTGTAATAATATTAAATATGCGTGTTAAGTATGTTAAATATATAAGTGAAAGTGTATATATATATATATATATATATATACCTAGAAAGAGAAATTTAAGATATAATACTTTCTAATATTTACTTGTGCTGCATTCATGATTGCTCGTGGATTATCTCAATAGAACAAGGAAGATTTACATATATACCACTCAATTTCAGTATATTTACATATCTAACACTGAAATTTTCAATTTTTACATACATATCACCTTGTGTAAAATGATGGTATTTTTTATGTGATATGATGTAAAATGATGGTATTTTTTATGTGATATGAAAGATTGGATGGTATATTGTAAAAGGCCAAGTTTAAGTATTTGATATGTAAACACATAGGAATTGGGTGGCATGTATGTAAATGCCACAATTCAAGTGATATTTACATACACACCACCCAAATCCCATGTGTTTACACATCTAACACCTGAGTTTTGTTTTCTTTACACTTTTACGGCCTAAAGTTTTCATATTGCATAAAAAATATCACCATTTTAACACTTAAAAAGTGTATAAGCCATTTCATACTTAGGTAAGGTGACATGCATGTAAAAAACAAAAAATTTTCTTTGCCGATTCCTGACGTAGCTCTACGTGCAACGCAGGGTATTCCTGAGTTATTTCCTGAGTTATTTTCAGAGAGTTATTTTCAGATTATTTTTGAGTTATTTTCAATAATCCCGAAATAACCCAGAAATAACTCGCAGTCTTTATTTTTGGGTTATTTCGAGATTATTGAAAATAACCCATAAATAACCTAAGAATAACTCAAAAATAACCTGCACCGCATGCAGAGTTACGTCAGATGTCCGGACAGAAAATGCGTACTGTAGAAAATGAGGTTGTGGTGTTAGATATGTAAATGCATAGGAATTGAGTGGGTATGTGTGTAAATCTTCCTCTTGAATTTTCTAAAGAAGTAAGAAAACATATTGCCAAAGGAAAGTAGGAATTGTAATCATTGTTACAGAAAAATCTTTTTGCAAACTTCAAGATGGATGGAATCATCTTAATTTTATTTTTTCAATGCAAATTTATTCATGCTGTTAATGAAAATGAAAAATTCCAAATCTGCCAAATAAATAACAATAAACCTGACAAATGAATGATGAGGGAGGGTAGAGATCCTGACCTGAATAAGAGCAATAACAGCCCTCAACTCTTCAAAATCATAGAAATGTCCCTTCAATTATTGAAGTTGTCTTCAGGCATTTCAGGTGCTGGTTGAAAATATAAATTTTTCTACAAGAAAATCTCACTGCAGCAACTTTGCCATTATAATGCAATCTTGTGAGTGAACTCTGAGCCTTTGAGCATAAGCTGGCTCTATGAAGCTGCCCTTCCTTCCATGAAATGTTTAAGGTAACTCCGCCTCGAGCTTTTACGCCTCGAACGAAACCCCTCGGCCATTTATCACGAGGGAGAGCGGGTAGTATGTAGAGATCCTCCTGTGTGCTCTGCACGAGCATTTCGGCGATTGCAGCTGAGAATCTACAGATTAAAAGCACAAACAAATCATTAGCTTTTTTTGCAAAAAAAGTAGAGTTGAGTTAACACAGTTGCCGCTAGGGGTGTAAATGAGTCGGGCTTGACAAATTTATTGAGTTCTCGAGCTTAATTATATGAATTTGAGCTGAGAAAACAAAATAAATGATAATCACAATGAGAAGTTATGAGATAAATAATAAGAAATCACTTATTATAAAATATTAAATATTATATTTTTTAACATTTTTAATAATTTAAAGATAAAACATTAAATTTTAATTTATTTTAAGTATATTCTATAAAGGAAACTTACATACAGGCCACACAATTCTTATGTGTTTACATACCTAACGCCTAAAGCTTGACATTTATAATTATAGCTCTTTTGTGTCATAAATCTATTATGAATAAGCATACTTCACCTTTAAAATATTAATAATGATGGTGTATTTTTATGTAATGTTAAAGTTTCTGAGTATTAAAATTCTAAATAGAAACTTTTTGTAGTTAAATATGTTAATACATAAGAATTGTGGTATTTGTATAAATACCCCTTTTTTTAAACTAGCTAACTAACAAACTAATGAGTCTAGTCAGGGTTGGCTTGAGCTCAGCTTGTTAGCTAACGAGCGAGCTTGGCTCAGTTATACCCCTAGTTGTAGCAGAATAGCTTATTATAGTTACCCAAAGTTGGCATCAATCTGAAATGGAGGATGAGCCGTGAACAAGTTACTGTACAGGCCGCCTTCAAAGTCAGCTTCATGGTCCGGGTCGACCAAGTTAATCATTTGTTTGATCAACACGTACGCATGTGAGCTATCACGAAGATGCGACCACAACGCCATCTTCCATGTGGTTGACCATCCTGGTCCGATATCCCCTGCTCAAGTTGAGAAATTTGGTTCAAATTTCAAACTATACAACAGTTCTGATAAAAGGAAAAAAAAAATAGCTTACCATCATATTACAAACAAGTATTCTCGAAATTAGGATTTAATTCCTTTTGCATTTTGGCTTTTATTTTATTGTATTTTTTTGTTTTAACAAATAAACTAGATTGTTTTTAAAAATACTCAAATATCTAAAAATTATTTTGAGTATTTTTAAAAACAACTAGATATATTTTATTTCAAAAAAAAACATATGCAAAGAGAAATAGGAGTTAGAAGTGCTCCCAAACAGCTCCTATGGTTCAAAAGTTGAACAAAATATAGGTGGGCTATTTCGGATTACTTTTGTTTTTTATTTTCTATATTTTGGTTTCATTTGATTTTATTTATGTTTTGAATTGAAATAAAATAAGGAAATTTACATACGCAGCATGCAATTCTTATGGATTTACGTATCTCACATATAAACTTCCATATTTACAGGCATTGCACTTTAACCTATGCATGAAAAGATGGATTTAACTATTAAAAAGTGGTGCTTAGTGCTATTTTTTATGGGATGCGAAAGAATTGGGTGTTATATGTGTAAAAATGAAATTTTTGGTGTGAGATACGTAAAGTCATAAAAATTGAGTGATGTATGTAAATAACCCAATCGAATATGTTTGACAAGTTCTATTACCATATGATTGTTTTTAAAAACACTCAAAACATCAAAATGTTGTTATATGTTATAAACACACTAAATAAATATATTTTAAAAATAAAACTGAAAATAAAATAGATCCCAAAGAAGCCCTAAATGAACATTTCTTTCAAGATATGAAAAATCAATTCAGAAGGTAATTATAAATGAAATTCAGACAAGGTTTGATTCACCGACCTCTTTTGTACAAGGAGTTGGCAGCAGCTTTAGATAAATCTGGTGTTTTTTCAACTGTAATTGTATGGCCAGGAAAAAGACCAAACAAGTGTGAAACATGCCGATGATGAACTTCTGGATCTTCAAAATCTTGTGCCTGTAAGAGATTGTAATTTAGAAAATTTAACATAAGTTTTGTGAAATTTCCTTTCATAAGTTTATTAGTAGCATTATGAGCCCCTACCTCCAATGCTTGCCAAAAATGAAGAAAATGATTTGAACTCTACCTCCTATGCATGTCAAATTTATGCGGGCGCAAAGGGGGGTAGCCACGATTTCCTGTGGCGTAACAGGGAGCCGCTCTCGCTCTGCAATTTCGTTCGTCCAAACTCGGGAGGGCTAAGGCGGTCAAAATGGCACGTTGCGCTCGTTCTAGTCTCGTTAATTTCATTCGATAAGTTAACGAGCCGAACACGAACAAAGATTTGTTTGTTCGTGTTCGGCTCGTTTTGAATCGAAATACTACTCATCAATTAAAACTATTAATTAAGAAAATAGAATAAAATTTATTAAATTGGATTCAAATGATGTTTTAATATAAACAATAATTTTTAAATCTTGCCCCAACCCTTAACATCTTATGGCTACGTGATTAGGGTTATCAAAACGACTCTTTGTTTGTGAACAGCTCGTGTTCGGCTCACTAAGCAAACGAGTCGAACACAAACACACATTTTGAGCTCAAAATATAAACGAGCCAAACACGAGCTGAGCATGGGCTCGCTCGTGTTCGGCTCGTTTACACCCTATGGAGGGCTGACCGGCTCTTCCACGAGGGTTTGGCGCCTCCTTTTCATAGTGGGATCCAATCCTAGCTATCTAGGCCTTATTTATGTCATTCCTTTTGGTTTAGGTTTTTAGTTTTGCATATATTTCTATTCATGACAGTTGTCGACTTCCAATGTTGTATCTGAAAGTGAGAAGGTACTCCGAATATAACTCATCCGAGGTGGTAACCCCAAGGATCAAATGATGTTTTGGTTGTAATTTGATCCTGTGGAGTATATTTATCCTCACTTTCTCCTCTCGCGCAACTTTCTTTCGCCTCCGCCCTCACTTTATTTTTTGCCTTCACTGGAGAACAGCTTCTCTATTGTTTTTCCTGCAGCCCGCAGTCCCTGCCACCTCCATTCCCCTCCCCTTACCTTCCCAGCCATCCATACAACCACCCCAGCCTGCGGCCGCCTTTCCCAGCTTCCTCACTGCTTAGCCTGCCGTCCAGCTGCCGGACAGCGCTGCACCCTACACCCCTTGCTGCTGCCACCTTCCCACGTCCCTTCTAACTTCCCTGTCATTGTTCGGCCGCAGGTCAGCCTTCCCCCAGCTGCATCTCAACCACCCAACCACCTATACGTCACAGTTTCCACCTCCTTGAACCACAGCCCATCAGCTCCAAACCTCGCCCCAGTGGGGTATTGATGTCTAGGCCTTTGTTTTTCCTATTTCACGTGTCTTTCATTGTAACCCTATTTACTTTTTGAGTAATAATATTTGCTTTTCCTATCTTGGTTTGGGTCAACTTTAATATCATTTAGCATCAAAGCTAGCATAACCCTACTTATATCCTAAGGTTTCTAATATCTACTAATACCTAACCCTATCTCCACCTAAAAATTTTCTTTCTTGTTCTGCATCACCCATACAAACTTCCTTACACACATCCACACCCAAAACCTAGTCATGTCACCAAAGAGATAATCGTCGGAAGTTTGATCGAGGGGAAAAGACACGATGTTGTTTACGAGAAATTCACAAAAAGCTGTCCGAAAGATTTCTATAGAGGATATGCAATGGCAAATCAACCAACTATAATAGAAGCTTACCACCTTCGAGAGGAGGTAATCTTGATGAGTCACCTATAGCCATAATGATGATTTGCTAGATCAAAGGGAAAAGTGACTTCCACCATATGAATTTCTGGGGATTAAGGAGCTCAACCTCGAGGATATGACATGAAATATATGAGAAGCCAGAATTTTAAAATAAAGATGGATTTGTCATATTTCGACGGTTACGTGGATCCGAACGAGTTCATCAAGTGACTATGGACCTTGGAATGTGTATTTGAGTGTTAGGACGGCCCACCGGACAAAATGATTAAACTAGCCACCAACAAGTTAAAGAATAGTATATTATTTTGATGGTAAAATCTGAAGTACATACTCCAACGTGATGGAAAAATAAGATAACTGATCTGAAACAAAACGAGAGATGCAGCGCCAACACTTACCAATTCACTATAAACTGAATGTTTAGACCCCAACTTCAAAAGTGAAGAGACCGCATCACTGGACGACCACCATATTTCATAGGCAGGGTTCAACCCCAGAATCTTATAGCTAGAGTAAACTCAGAGGAACACCCAAGCTGACCTCGCCTGAGAAAAAACTAATTCATAGTAAAGAACAGGTGAGACGAACCAATATTCCTAAAGTATCACCGTCAGAAAGCGTTTCAAGTGTCATGAATTTAGGCATATCGAATCAGATTGCACAACAAGGGAAATGATCTATTTCACATAGCTGAGCGTTATTGATAACATGAGTAATGACACGGTCGACACTGAAGAAGGTGAGGACACATAGGAGAAATATTATCTTCCAACAGATGAGGAAAAGATGTGCATAGTTCTAATTGAGCCCATGAGAGATACTTCAACCGAATTAACAGTGATTGTCTAAGATGGTATTGAGTTTGAGGAACCGACACCAAAGCCATGACAGCTCAATAAAAGAAAAATTCAAATTTTTCAGATCTATAGACTCCTTTCCGAGTTTTCCCTACTGAGGGAGTCCTGCATGTCAAAAATGATGCCCTTTTGTGCCACGTCTAAAAGATTATATGAATTTTTTTGGATATTAGATTACGATCACTAGTGTACCAATCATCAGATGTCCAGACATGAGGGATGAACCTTAGCTTTGAAATTTATCTTAGGAGTTTGATGAGAAAGAAAATTATTCAATGGGATTTAGACCCTATCAATGAAAAAGAAGAGGTCTCTCCTGAGTGATTGTTATTGAGAGTGGCGCAGTCTACCACAAATTTCATCCTAGAGTTGATTTATCCTCAAATAATTATTTATCAGCAACATTCTGTTGAGTAAGAGAAGTGGAAGAAGAATATTTCAAACTTAAAGACTTGAGAGTTAAATTGTTGGAACCTACATCTATATGCAGCTTCAGCTAAAGATGTACCAAAAGAAAATGCATATTTATACTATCAACACATATTGTAGAATGTCAGTGCCTACATGATTAACTTGTTAGGAGATTATGGCATTCCTAATACTTTCAACAATACAAACCTAAAAACTATAAAGAGACAGAAGCTTCGACAGATGAGTTCGAACTCTCCCAATCCCAGGAGGCTCACGCAGGTGCGAAGGGGTTAGCCATGACTTCCTGCAGCGTAATAGGGAGTTGCTCCAGCTTTTGCAATTTCGTTTGTCAAGATCGAACCAGTCCAGACCCAGGAGGGCCGACCAACTCTTCCACGTGGGTTTGGTGTCTGATTCCTTCCATATGGGGATCAATTCCTGATTATATAGAGCTTAATTATGTGATTCCTTCCATTTTAAGTTTTTAGTTTTTCATATGTTTATGTTCAGAATAGCACTCGATTTCTGATGTATTGCTTCCTGTTCCGAAGAAAAGGAGGTGTTCCAGTTGCAACTCATTCGAGATCGTGATCGTCTCCCAAGAACCAAATGATGTGCCAGCTATAGTTCAATCTTACAGGGATATTTATCCTCGCTTCCCCTGTCCCACAACCTTTCTTTCGCCTCCGCCCTCGCTTGTATTTGATGCCTCACCGAAAAACAGCATCTCTACTACTTTTCCTGCAACCCGCAATCCCTTGCCACCTCCGTTCCCCTCCCCTTACATTTCCAACAATCCTTACAACCACTCCAACCAATGGTTCAAATCTAATACCAGCTCGTAGTACAACCAAACCTAGCCCTAGAGGGGAATTTGTGTTTGCGTGATTATTTTTCCTATTTCACATATCTTTAATTGTAACCTTATTTGCTTTTGAATAATAATATTCGATTTCCCTATTATGGTTTGAGTCAACTCAGGTATCACAAATGGGGTGAATATGATTTCTTTTTCTTTCTTGTGTTTGAACATCATATTGAATTTTAAGATATCTAATTTGGCCTCATAACATTTCAAACATTGCAATTCATTTGGGGTTTGTTTGACAAAATTACAACTGCCCATAAATGTGTTATAAATTAATATAGTAAAACAACATTTTAAAAGTAATTGTGGGAATTAGGATATTATTGTCAATATTTTGAACAAATAGACTGAATTCTAAATAGGCTCGATGATTTTTCCATTTGCTTTCATTCCATTAAATAATAATCTTATAATCTATTTTAGGTAAAAAATATTATGTATAATCTATTTTAGGAAACTTAATAATACATATTCCTAATCTAAATATTCCTAATCTAAATCTAAATATTTAGCTAAAAGAGAAATAAATCATAATAAAGATATTGAAAATAATTTAAATAAGAAAGCTCCTAATTATAAAAAACTCATAATTTAGCTGCCTAATTTTCGTTCTTCCTGATTGACAATTATAAATTTGTTTAAGTGAAAAAATAGTTGGAAATCAATTTTGTTATAGCTCTTACACTCCAACAGATCTGATTTTTAAAGCTCTTTTCCGCCGTTAGTATTTTTAAAACCAACACAAGTTGTAGCTAAGCAAAAGTGTTGCAGCGATTCGTGTATTAAAGATCGATTAGGTAGCTTTTTTATGAATTTGTTTTCGAGAAGCTGCCACAAATTTGTTTGCCCATAACTTCTTTACTGTTTCAAAAAATGCTATACTAAGAAATATTTTTTTACAAGCAGATTTCCATGAGTATGATGACAAATAAAGTTGTCGTCCGACAGTTTTAGAAAGAGAAAAAAATTATAATACACAAAAAAAGAAACTTTAAAAAATTCCTTTCACAACAATTCTACAATGACTTCAACAATCAGCTACATCCACCCCAAATGGCCTCTAAAACTACGAAATAGCTATCCCAATCACACTCTTAATACCTTCCAAGACTTTGAAGCTCCTTCTCATAATAGATTAACAGTTGATCAATTTATTGACAAAATTAATAAAATCATTTTCACAAATGATCATAAATCATAACATCCACCAAACTAATGGAGTCTGACTTGCTGTGATGCTAACATACATCAACTGAATACATAGATATGAGCTTAAAATTTGATATAAATAACTTTAAAATGAAATAAGAAATTGCTTTCATCATATCTTCAATAAAATTTCAGTTCTCCTCGTTAATCAAATTATTTAAAAACCATAATATAGTTATGCATGATTACTACTCTATGATAGCCTAAATTATGCAAGCAAAACAGGTTCATTAACAAATCATCAATTATTTTAAATTATATGTTATGTGCACATACTTTAGAACATTAATTAAACTAATACATATACTAATGTCTTTTAGTATATCACTCAGGTTTATTCATGAAATGTAGACTTTCATTTAATGAAAATTTATTATTTTGTCATTAATATAAGATAATATATGCATATATAGAAACAAGCAAGCAATCGAAACTAGAGATATTTGCGTTAGTTATCAGGCCATAGGGAACATTATCATGTCACTAATACATATTTAAGCAATATTGGGTCTTTTGAACAACACAATGGAGGACAACAAAATTGTTCAATAACAAAAAAAAATCATTTTTAACTGTGAAATTTATCACACAAAAAAATCAATTTATAGTCACAAATCTTTTGAAATTTAATTCAGACAATAATCGAACCTGAATATCAAAGTCATTAAAAACTAAGAAACCGCCAAAATTGAAACATTCACAATAAGACTGAAACCTCATAAATAAACTTTGAAAATCATTTATTAATATAATGTTTACCCATTCCATGATGGAGCCATCTCTTGAGATTCTTGTCGGAGGAAGCTTTGGAAGGGCAGTCTTGATTCTCTTAACTAAATCAACATCAGATTTGCCCAAAATCTGGTAAAAAGAGATTCAACGTATTCTCAAGCAGAAGACCAATATTTACTTGATTATTCCATTAAAACCATGAAAATAAAGAGTTCGGTCATCCAGCATGATGAAGGGAAGAAATTATAGTATTTACCTCAGCAGAAGATAAAACTGCATTAAAGACCTCTCTAATTATTGATATGTCCATAGTTGATGAATAGCTGACAGATGCAGTCTTCCCATCAGGAGCAACAAATCTATGCTCTGGAGAAGTTGAGGGATTGGTTTCCAGATAGCCATCAGAGCCTTTGATCAGCCAATCCAAAAGAAAAGCAGCACATCCTTCCAAAAGAGGGTAGGCTGTGTTCTCCAAAAACTCCTAAATATGATGAATAATCAATAAACAACTCAATCTAAATTCAACATTGATTTTTTTTTTTTTTTAATTGAGAGGGATTGATCTGAAAAGAAGTTTTCAGGGAGATTTAGGCCTTATTTGGAACAAACGAGTAAATATTATGCTTTTAATGTGTTGAATGAGAAAAATCATCCTTCTCTCGCATATAAACAAAGGCTCTCGCAAAAGTTACTCCACATGCTCACCAAGTTAAAAAATAAAGTGCAGGTGCAGAGAAGTAATTTTACAAGAATATTTCAGTTGTCCAATATTTTTCTTCTCAAAGGGAGGTGCATCGCCTTATGTTTGTATCTAAGAAATTAAGTTCCTATTCTTCACAATCAAATCATTCAGAAATTTGCAGCAATGACAACATAACATAGCCAACAATTAGGTAAACCTCTATAGTTTCTTTGTGTTTGAAGGTAATAATATTTTTTTTTTTAACTTTTTTTAACTCTAGAGTTTGAATTAGGTTTTGCCAATTTCTCAACATTCTCAAGTGTGAAATCACTTGCCTAACGCAGTTTTTAGCTAACTTCAAGTTATTGCGTACGATCCAGAAATCCTATGTGAATAAATTGCAATAACTAGTACTTTGCCCATTTAAAAGAAAAAAAAAAATCACTAAAGCTAGTTGGGCAATACAGAAGATGTTCAAAATGCCTCATACTACCATACAAAACCTCTACAAAAAGGGCATAGCTGGAGCATGAGACTCTTGAAATACAATATGTTATGAAGGGCCCCCGCACAAGATATAAAATAAAATAAAATAATTAAGGAGCATTTACATACATAGCACACATGGGCGGACCAACAGGAAGGGTCCAGAGGGGCAATTGTCCCCTCTCAAATACAAATTTTTACTTATATAGGAGGGAAGTTTGGTATTTTGTCCCTCCTGAAATATTAGTTTTGTCCCTCCTAAAATATCAAGTTTGTCTTTCCTGAAATATCATTTTGTCCTTCGTTGCTCTAGACCCTCCCTTGTTGGGTCTAGAAGGCAGCCCCCCTCAAAAGAGAGATTGGTTTTGTTCCTGAATTAGCACACAATTCTTACATATTTACATATCTCACAACTAAACTTTCATATTCGCACACACAACACTCAAATTTTAAATACCACATCAAAAATAGCACTATTACCACTTTTTTAAAATTGAAATACAACTTTCCGAGCATAGGTTTAAAGCACCAAGTTTTATGTATGTAAAAATAAAAGTTTAGGCATAAGATATGCAAAAACATAAGAATTGTGTGCCGCGCATGTAAATTTAATAGCATAAAAGTTTCTTTTTAAGGATGTGCAATTTTTACAACTCCTTTTACACATAATAAGAGCATGAAAAACCCATGCAAACTCTACCATACTATAAACTTCACCTTATCCAAAGAAAAAGTATAATGCTCCCAAAGATGAGTGCAAAGCCATGCCCCACCCATTGGCCAAACTGCCCAAACCGGATCACCTAAATCAGGTGAAGTTTTGGCCCATATATCAGAGACTTGATGAGCAACCCAACCGCTTGTCTCGTAATTAACCTGCAAAATGGATGCTTAATTTCTCAAATTAATCTGAAATAAAAGCAATGCAACAATCATGAAAGATTAAAAACATTCTAAAAAACTTGTATCTGCTAATTTCATTAAGAAATAAGTAAGATATATTTGCTTTCCACAGAAACGAGGCGCCTTATGTTTATGATAATACCAACAAGGCTCATTTCACCTATTCATAATAAAACATTTAGATGACATTTTAACATGGGATGCACCGACACAATTTCAGCATTTAAAGAAAATTACATCTCTTTGAATGCAAAATGAACTTATTTTATGTTAAATATTTTAATATTTCTATTATAAATATGATAAACGAAGAAAATATGGTGATAATCTACTATCCTCTTATGTGAAAAATAATCATTTTCCATATTAATATGATAGGCTAAACTACAACACACAAAATGTAACAGAAATTTGTATCTTACTTTTGCTGTTTTAGCACCATTGATTGCAAGAGATGCTATGAAGTCAAACAGTGGTTGTTGGCATTCACTAAGATTGCAGGAAAGAGATGGCCAGTAGTTCATTTGCAAATTTATATTAAAATGAGGAGCAGCACTGGAGGAAAAATAAATAAAAGCAAAAGTTTGTATTAGTTGAACTAGGCACAAACAAAAAGAGGAGCATGACAAAAAAGTTTGAAGCATTGCCAATAAATATGATCAGCTGTAAATAAATAGAAAATTCACAAAATAATAATAATAATAATAATAAAACCAATACAAAACCACTTGAACAAGTGCATCAAAATAATTGTCTTTTGTTTTTGTAAATATGATTATTAGCTCAAAAACTTATTCGATGTTACTACCATTCATCATACTAATAATTGGCCAAACATATGCCCTGAATGTTTTTAAGGACCAAGAGTTTTACTTAAACAACTGGGGCCTTTACATACATGCTGCACAGTTTTTATAATTTACATATCTAACACCTAGTCAAACATATTTACATGTATGACACTCAAATCTTTAACTTCACATAAAAAATACCACCATTGCCATCTTTTAAAAAGTGAAATACACCTTTTCATGCATAGGTTTATAGCACCAAAGTGCTATAAGTGTAAATATTAAACTTTGGGTGTTAGATATGTAGATTAATAAGAATTGTGTGGTATGTATGTAAAAGCCCCTAAAAATTTCCCAATGTCATGAATCGCCCACTAGAATCATGTGAATGACTTGAAGGACATGGCGGTTCTATTGGTAACAACCACAGAAGGGAAAAGCCATAGAATGATTCAAGGTTGTCTTGGACCTCGCCTGGATGTTACCTGCTTTGTTGGGCATGACCAACTAAAAAGAGTTCTTGAAAAGAATAAGCTCCAAATACCAATGATTTGATTGGATACAACTCACTAGCTTCTAGCTAACTGGCCTAAAGCTGGCAAGTCAAAGAATCCAATGGGAAGGTTGCATTAACCATAAAAATTGGCATCCCAAATTTAATTTTTTCGCCCATTGGTGTCCTATTAGCAGCATGGTATCGCAAAGCGCCCAAGTAATGATTGCTCTACAACCCACAACCCACTTCATGAAATATTTCTTGATTGCATTATAACGCATCAATCAGAACTATTGTTTTTCACGGAAATATGTCTCATAGTTGTGATATGAACCGGAACTAAAAACAGCAAATAATTTGCAATAGAAAGAAGGGAACTCAAATGAGGGTGATTTTACTAATACCAACGAAAGCAAACAAAATACAATGTTGATCTACCATTCGAGGGGTAGATGGTTTCTCCATTAATCCTAGACGCCGCTAGAAACACCAAGATAAAAGATTAACTGTAGTCAAACCAAACATAAAATAAACCCTAAACAACTAACCCTCATAAATACTCTCCAACTTTCAAAATTTTCCACCAAAAATCCCTTTGATTCACCTCCTCTTGTACGTGATTAGCAGTTGTGTAGAGCCCACCTGGGCACTGAAATTGTGTTCAACCTTTCCTAGGACACCTGCTCCTCTATGGCCGATCAGCTTGCTTGACTTGGCCGTCAGCTGGACTGGCTGGGTCTATATCGGTCCAATTTGAACCGGCTCGTTTCTCCCTCTCCCGTCGGCTCTCTCATCACTCTTAATAGGTGCGGACATGAAAGGCTCTTCCCGTGTCGTATCTTAAGGTCATTGAAGTACCTAAGCTTGAAAGAAGTAAGCAAAGTAATGGTTGGGAGGACATCCAAAGATCCACCTGGAACCTCAAACAAGCATTTCCTCCAACGGTCGGAGGCGTTTGTAATTATTGTAACCACCAAGGCATCCACCCACACTACAGGAGAAGTTATTAGCGTCTGATATTTGAGTTAAATTTTCCAGTCGCAAGCGTCGAATTTGCGGTTATTAAGCAACGAATAATAAATTTTGATATTTGCGGCAGATTTTGTGTCTGATTTTAGTCTAAAAATCTGACGGAAGAAGTACTCTGAAAACAACGAAATTTGTATTGTTGTTGCAATGAATTTAGCATTGAATTTGCGTCCAACAAGGTGACGCAAAAACTTGTTAGTGTCAAACTAAGACTGATGCAAATTAGACGGAAATCCAACGCAGATGACCTAATATACTCCTCCTGCACGAATAAATTTCATTTATTCTCTATGCGCCTCTCCCGGTCTCCACTTCTGCCCAAAACCCTCGCAAGCTTCCCCTCTCCCCTTTCCCTCTCCCATTCTGTTTCGCTCAGAACCATCGCCTTCCCAAATGAACATTCGTGATACAGTCGCCATTAGAGCTAGCAGGGAAGGTAATGATCAACCGGATCGAGCTTACAGAGACCACCGAAACTCCCGTATTTCTCATTCTTCCACTCCACTCCTATCAGAAAGCAATGAAAAATGTAAATCCATTCACGCCAATATTTTTATTTATATCCGGTATGCATGTAAAAATTGAAGTTTAGGTGTTAGGTGTGTATATACATAAGAATTGAGTGATATTTATGAAAGGCATAAGTAGTGTGGTATGTATGTAAAAATTGAAGTTTTGGTGATAGGTGTGTATATACATAAGAATTGAGTGATATGTATGAAACGCATATATAAGTAATGTGATTTGTATGTAAAAATTGATACTTTTATATATATATATATATATATATATATATATATATAATGAAAAGTTCAATGGTTGATTTTATTGAAATTGAAAATGTACACAAAGGTTGTATGAGAGAGCCCAATAGAGACACCATACGCATACGATACCAAGTACAGTACTACCCCAACAAAAGATACAGATAGTGTGTGTGAGTGTGTGTGTGTGTATTGAAAAGCCCAAGGGCTAAATCTATTAAAATAGGAAAGATATATAAATCTTGTACGAGAAGGCCCAATAGAGACACCCTACCAATGCGATACAACACACACAAACACCCCAAAAGAGAAAAGATACAGAGAATCCCAAAAAAACGGAAAGATATCAAAATCGCAGAAAAGAAGTAGCTAGGGACGAGCCAGTTTAGCCCTGCCTCTGCCTCTAGTTCTAGGCCGAGATCCAGATAACAAATTATTAAGTGTCGAGTCATTTCCCGAAGTAACCAAAGTATCATCCATTAGGTTCCCAATCTGAAGTTTGCCTCCAATCTTTTTCTTCCTTCTTGAATAGACATGTCATTCCTCCTCAGAAGACTGACTCATCTGATCATCGTGTTGGTAAACAGAACGTCGGGCAGATAAAAGCTAATGAGCACCAGAAGAAGGATTGTCAACTGTTGCAACGACTGTAGATTCAAGTGTGTGTGAAGCATGAAATGTCCCCTCTTCACCTAATGCTTCCTGTAATTGGGGAGGGTTTGAAAGTGTAGGTTGCTCCGCAGGACCATCTAGCTTCTCATCGATTGCAGAAATAGTATTTTCAGGGAGAGGATCCACAGGGGCGAATAAATCAGACACCATAACCTGTTCTGTGGTAGTTTTTTCTTTAGATGGAACATATATATCCAAAGCAGTGGGGTTAGGTCCATTCTTATTCACTTAATCTTTAGATTTCAAATTAGGGTGAAGCTTATAGCATTTATCAAGGTTGTGCTCAAACATCATACAATAAGAACAATAAGAAGGTCTATGCTCTATAACAATTTGTTGTCAATATCCATTGTGAGTTGTGTCCAACCAGACTTTAGTAACATTAGGTAAAGTAATATATTTTTCAATAAGCATTCTGGCCACAGACGGTCTGATTAGGTTAAAAGTGGGTAGATCTAACTTCAAATGGTCCCCAAGTATGACACCAATAGAGTAAAAAACCTGATGATGAAAAAAGTGCAGCTTGAGATTAGGTAGACTAAACCATACCGGTACAATAGGAGATTTGTGCTTGGGGTCAAAATCAGAAAACCACTTGAGTAGTTTCATTGGTTTACCAGCAATGTTGAGATATTTTTTGGAAAAAATCTCAGTGTAGTCTTCAGGCATGGTTAGTTGAATTAATACATCTCTCATCTATGAGCCCTCCACTTTCCACTTTTCTGCTAATTTGAGATTATTAAAACTTTTCCTGATAACATCCATAGGTGAGTGTCCTAAGTGGGTGTCCCTGTCCCCACTGAAATTTTCCAATAAGATCAAACTTGAATTTATCAGTAAATGATGAAATTTCTAGCTTAGAAAAAAAAGTGTTGATTTCTCACTTTTCCTGCTTACATACTTGATAAAGGGGCAATCACCTTCTCATTGCTCCTTATAACTTGAGGGGAAGACAACCGCCGCCTTCCTCTGAGAGTTACCCACCACGTGGGTAAAGGAAACTTTGTCAGGTTCAACCGTAGACTAAGGAAGCTCCATCAAAGCAAGGGAAGCCCTGCCAAAGTCGAGCAGCGGCAAAAATAGCGAGCCGAAAGGTAGGGCGAAAAACTGCAGTTGTCGAAGCCGCAGAACAGTCGCAGCTCGACAAGGCAGGTCGCGGAACAGTTTCAGCGAACGAGAGCAACGGGAAACACAACGAGACGACCTGACGCGGCTCGTAGCTCGACTACCACGCAGAAGCGACGAGACGACGAAGACGAGATAGTTAGTCTCAGCTTGACGAGGCTCCCAACTTGACGTTCACAGAAGCAGCAAGACGTGACGACGACGTAGGAGGAGTCGACGATCGCAGGAGAGATTGACGAACTCAGAATTCGTCGTCGAGTGCGAGAGCTTCGTCTTCGAGCATGATGGTAAAGCTGAAAGATAAAGTTATATATATATATATATATATATATACACATATATATATATATATTAAAAAGAATGGCTGAAGCCTATTATACGAGCTCCGGTCATCCCTCATGCGCCTAAGAATTAGAGTGTCACACTTGACACTAGAGAGAATCGAACCCTAGACCAGAGGGGACTTACAACTGACAAGCAGATGCCCGACCAACTGATATGAGTACGCGGCGCATATTTATATATATATATATAAATAAGAATTGAGGGTTATGCATGAAAATCTTTGTAAAAAAAAAAGAAGCTTAGGTGTTAAGCATATATATGTATATACATTAAGAGGATGTTATTAGCAGAATTAATGTTGATTGGTTGAAGTAGAGAAATGAATCTGGTCTA